GGCTCAAATAGGCGCCAAAATTTTTGTTTTTTAATGTACCTACTATTAATTTTTCAACACCATTAGAAAAAATATAATTGTTTTTTTTTTAAACACCCTAATATAGCCATATATAAATATAATAAAATGTGAATTTATAATTATATTTATTGAAAAAAAATATTTGTATTGTTAAAAAAACATTATTTACATAAAAAAATAGGAAAAAGTCCATTAAATTAAAAAAAATATTATATGACTGACATGACAAAATAACTTAAAACTACGAAGGCGTAGAAGGGCCAACAACAATATTTTTTTTTAATAAAGTTTTTAATCGACAATTGTCGATCGGTTCGACAATTGTCGATCGGTTCGACAATTGTCGATCGGACCGACAATTGTCGATCGGATCGACAATTGTCGATCGGATCGACAATTGTCGATCGAATCGACAATTGTCGATCCCATCGACAATTGTATATATACAGAGTGTTTTTCATTCGTAGTCCATTAGAAGTTTTTGGGAAACGAAAAAGATATTGAATATTTTTCGAATTATTATTTTTTTTCGTTAAAATTTAAGAAATTCGCGTCAATCAAAAATAGCCTATAACTTTTTTGTTATGAGGTTTGCAAATATAGGGTTGGAATTTTTGGAATATTAAAAAAATTAGGCCAAATTGAAGGTTAATAACTTTTTTATTTCAAATGTAACACTTTGTATGTTTTTACATATTCAAATAGTAAATTAAAAAACCTTTCGATTGATGTTACTATTCCCTATACCTAAAGTTAATAATTTCAGAGATATTTAACAATTTCTAAAATTTTACATATTATTTTGTATCACGTAACCTGTGACGGGTGAGTTGACGGTTTCTATCAGAGACTGGTTTCTATGGTTACCACGTAATTTGTAAAATTTAATCGCGTCAATTTTTCAGGTTGTTATAAACAATTTGTTAACTAATTAAGTGTTTAAAAATTAATAATTCGAAAATTTTTAAAATAATATTAGGTAATAATATTTAAGTTGATCTGGTTTAACCGGAAGTGGCATTTTGTTCAAATTATTATAGAAAAATAGACTTAAATGGATTATAAACGCTTTTAAAATTTCAAATCGATATCTTTTTTCGTTTCCCAGAAACTTCTAATGGGCCACGAATGTGAAACACCCTGTATATATACAATTGTCGATTCGATCGACAATTGTCGATCCGATCGACAATTGTTGATCCGATCGACAATTGTCGATCCGATCGACAATTGTCGGTCCGATCGACAATTGTCGAACCGATCGACAATTGTCGATTAAAAATTTTATTAAAAAAAAAATATTGTTGTTGGCCCTTCTACGCCTTCGTATAAAACAAATAAATTTACAGACATTTTCATTCATAAAATATAACGACAAAAAACATAGCCTTTATTGCTAAAGTTGAAAAAAAAATATGCTAGCATTTTTAAATTCATCAGCAAAAAATTAACTAATAATAGTATATTATGTATCAAGTTTGATAACTGGCATTTTAGACATGAATTTAATTTAATTAAATGAGTGTCTTGATACAAATACTTATAATTATCTAAAAATGATTTAAAATAAATATTTGTATAGAGCGACATCTATAAAACAATAGAGTAACCAACTTGAAAAATATCACATTTTTATTTGTAAATCGAAATGTATCTCTTCGAAAATGAACCGTTTGTATATATATATAATAATAATTTTTTTTTCCTTAGCCTGGGGGTGGAATTTGTAGCCTATAAAAAAAGAAAATTAAAAAAAAAAAAGGTGGCCCATTGATTTTTTAAATTAAATTTAAGTTAAAATTCTTTTGATTAGAAAAAAAGTTTTAAATTTATCTAAAAATAAACAAATTTGATCGTGTTCAACTCGAAATTCGCTCTATTGCCTCAGAAAAGCATATTACTACATATTTTGGAATTTTTTTAAGAACAACAATAATGACCACAAAATTTTTTTTAAGTTTATAACTGTTAATTAGCAAGAAAGAGGACACTCCGCAGTTTCACTTTTGAAAAAAATTTTACGACCACTCGTTTTTAACTTAAATTTAATTTTAAAAATCAGTGGGCCTCAAGACGTTGAGTAAAAAATTTTTTTTTTCAAATTTTTTTTATAGGCTTTTTTTTTCGCTCCACCCTAATATATATATATATATATATATATATATATATATACATGGTAAATCGATGAAAAAATCAATGAGCAAATTGAACGTTAAACTGTTAATTTTAAATAAAAGTGAAATTACCAAAAAAATACAAAATATACTTCAACTCTTTCTTGCCTTTACAATAGATGCAAACACATTATTCCTCATTTTGATATATGTTGCCATGACACTTACAACGTTGTTCCGGTTCTAAAATATGAAATATATATACCTATATATAATAATTATGCTTACATTTTTATTAAATGTATGTTATTTACAGGGTAATTTTCGACTGGCGTCCATAAATAATAATAAGTAATAAAACAAATACCGAAAAATTTAGTTCTCAATACTAGGCGACAAAATCGTGTGATTAATGTAATGGTAACACGGGCACCTCTATTTGCATTTTAATTATATTTCATTTGATTGATTATATTTACTTAATTACCAGTTATTAAGCAAACTAAAAATAAAGACATTTGTAATAATGGAACCCCTCATGTTTAGTTTATAATAAGCAATCAAAAATATATTTATAAGGGTGTTTTTTAAGACTGATAGACCATAGACTAATTTAAGTAGATTTACACTAAAAAATTGTTTCGTATCTTTCAAAACTTATTATGAAAGGCAATATTAAACTCGCAAAATGTTTAGAAGATTACGTGATTTGTAGGGTCCACGTAGTAGACTAACTGAGCTCGTTATTTTTCATGTAGTAATTAAAAATTTCTTATGACTTAACTAAACCCACAAAAGTGCACTGGTTGGTGTGGTCAACATAATCGGTATTTAAATTAAAAAAAAAAATCAGGTTAGAGCTCAATAGCCATTGTTACCGGACAATGATCGGTGATTAATTCACTCAACGGTAAAAGACCAAAAACGGGTATTATATCGACCCATGCAACGAAGACTGTTGTAACTCAGTTTTGATTGTAGACTAGAGTAACTCAACTTAATATAGTTTTCGCCTGTAGGAATGTGGATTATTACACTTACTATACAGGGAAGTTGTTCACTGGTTGCCTATCGTTTCATGTCTGAGTTACTGTAATCTTCCACCAAATAGAGCTTGAAAAAATCTGTTGATGCCATATAGTAAGTCAAAACCCACGTTTTTGAGTTACTATAGTCTTCGTTGCATGGGTCGATATTATTTATTATATATAATATTATGTTGCCATGAATTAGTATATATATATTTTGTATTTTTATTACAAAATACATTTGTCGGCGTTTTCTTATATGATATAACTATTTGTATAACTATTATTTTGTGTTAGATTTTTTTTAAATGTCCAATTTTTAATATAAATTATTAGGTAAAGTTATAATTAGTTAATTCTGTACCAGCATAAGTACCGAATCGGATCCTTTGACAAAACCTGAAAATGAAATTTTAAATTTGGTCAATTTACAATTAAAAGCACAATAATTCACTATGATCACTAGGATAAAATACACACACAAACGTAACTATATAAGCATATAAAGAATATTAAATCGAAATAAGGTAGGTACCTACTTAACAAAGCAAAGTTTTTCAGTTTTTACTTGGAAGGCGAAACACGAATAATGTGCAAAGCAGTGCAATTGCAATTTAAAATTGCGAATAAATTTTTGGAAAAACTACTTAATTATTTAAATGTAAGGTGAAAAACCCTGATCCAATAATGCTGTCGAGCGCCACCAGATGGCTGGCGCGCCCATGCCTCTTTAGCTCATTGTTAATTTTTTTTAAGAACCCTTCATTATTGTCTATAATGGGACCAAAAACATCTAATCTTTTAGGTTAAGACTAAACTCAAATTAAATGATATACCCATGGGTATATGCAAAACTGAACTATTTTTAATTTTAATTAAAAGTTTATAGATGCGTCGTTATCAGGATGATTGTTTGGCTAATAAAAATGTATCGTTTAAAGGATTCATGTATCATTAGCCTCTGACCGAGCGACTAAACAGGAGCAGCTACTCTTTAAGTAGGGGTAGGTTTTGTATTGCTTGAGCCCCTCTTGGATTCGGTAAATAGTTTCAATGTTCATTTATTTCTACACGACACGCCATGAAGAATGGGGTTGTAATACGAACGCGGAGGGTGAACGTGAATTATTCATGACGTTTAACCTGACATCTGTTAGTTCAAATTGCTTCACGTTAGACGACAAAACTTATGTTGCCAAATTAAGACAACAATGCGCCCCAATTTCCCGATTTTTAACTTTATCAACAATATTGACCAGATCAAAAATATAATACTATATATAGTATACTAGATATATTTAAAAAGTCATAATTCAAAAAATGCATTGCCAAAATTGGCCAATAATTATAATCTATATTAAATGTGTTAGGTATATGTAAATAAAAATACTTTAGGAACAAAGATATTTTTGTGTAATTTTTCAAATGCTTTTTCTTAAGTGATACATACATTAGTTATTTTTTTTTAACTAAATCAACTATGTATATCAATCTTTTGCTTAGATATTTAAATTAGCCAGAATAAAATAAATGTTTTATTTAAACCAGATTGTTTGAAACAGTGAATTAAATTATTCTGTTGACAGTTGAACCGTTATTTATCAATGTTTTCATAAATGGCCGTAATAATTGACGGACCTCTGAGGAGGGGGCGACACTGTCACTTTAATTGAGAGGGCTGGATTGCATGCTCTTCCCTCGGGAACCCCCAACAATTTACACTTTGCAAAACACGTTACGGCTCATTGCGCGATCCGTCAAGGCACTGATATTTCGGTTTATGACTCAATGATTCCAAGACATGTGCAAATGAGGATAATATTTTTGTTTGTTTCAGAACCGATTAAATTCGGAATCAACCGATTGGTGTCGAAATCGTCCGATGATGAGGATGAACAAGCGAACAATAATAACGTAAAATGTTATCAGAGAGAGAAAGAAGGCAGCACTTGTTATAGTGGCGATGAGATGATGTCGCCACGACTAAGTTCGGAGAATCGTTGGGAAGGTTCACCTGCAAGAGCATCACCATGCACGTCTCCCGAATTAGAAGTCGATTCACCACCGCATTCTAGAACTAACTCACCATCACCATCCCCACGACCATCTTCTGTGACAGAAATACAGAAAATAAACCCCCCCTTAAAAAAATCCGAAGCCTTCTCTGTAAGCGCGCTGCTAAGGCCCGATCTACCAAAAAATAAAGAAACCGCTCCCTACTACCAAGAAACCATCTCACTGACTAGATCGTACCTATACCCTCCACTAGCGGATTTGGTCAAGGATGTGCAGTTGAAGTCGGCACATGAATACAACCAGCAATTTTTACCGAGAAGCCTGGTGCACCCCAGCTTTTTCCCGCACAATCTCTACTCTCACAAGGAAGGCGAGGAACGCAATTTTCTTCCCACCCCAACATCCCTTTACTTTAGCGCCATGGCTGCTGCTATGGCCTCTGGACAATCTCAAAGCAATCAGTACCATCCTCCGACCTCCAACGAAGATTTGTACCGATTTCGGCACCATCTTTTAAATAATCCACCGGGAATTCATCCACATCACCAGCATTTGTTTATGAGACCTGGTATGATGCCAATCGGGGATGTTTATTCGTGTATTAAGTGCGAGAAAATGTTTTCCACACCTCATGGACTGGAGGTGCACGCAAGAAGGTCGCACAATGGGAAAAGACCTTTTGCTTGCGAATTATGCAACAAAACGTTTGGCCATGAGATCAGCTTAAGCCAGCATCGGTATGAAATTTATTTGTTTTTGTTTGAATTCATTATTCATAATTTACTTTTTGTTTCAGAGCTGTGCATAATGTGGAGAAGGTTTTCGAATGCAAGCAGTGCGGCAAATCCTTTAAGCGTTCGTCTACTTTATCGACTCACTTACTTATACATTCAGATACGAGGCCGTATCCTTGCCAATATTGTGGAAAGCGGTTTCATCAAAAGTCCGACATGAAAAAACACACCTACATTCATACCGGTGAGTAATATAAGACTTAATGATTACTTTAGTAATTCTGCTGTGGAAATCAAAAAAGTAAAATTGAAATTCAGTCGTGTTGAGAAGATTTCGCTCGTCGGCAATCCAATCTTAAAGTAGAATGGTGCCATAAAATAACATCCGAGAAAATTGGGAGAAACAGAGCGAAAGAAAAGAAACCTCCTCTCACTTAAGTTTCCGTACGTGCTGTGAAACTAATTAGTGAAATAAAAATCCTGAGAGACCGAGAGGCAATGGACCCCCTGCATAATTGGTCGGGCTGCTAAAAAGTGACATTTTCCATGCAAGGCTTTTGCAATTAAAAAAAGGCGGAATGTCGCGGCCCTGGGAATCTTCACCCTCTCATTTAAAAAAAGCTGTTTTCGGGACACAATCAAAATTACCCTTCGAGATACACCAGTCTCGCTGGCAATTTTAAAAATGGAGTTTTTCTTAATTGCAAAAAACTCTAATTATAAGAAACACTGGAAGGACGTTAATTGATTTGGAAACAAGAAAAGAATGCGCCTTCAAGAAATTATTATTGGACAAGGAACGCGAAGCTTATTTATTATTTTGATGAGGACTCTACGTGATCCTCAATAACGCCAAAAAAATTGTACAGCAACAAATTTAAACGCGTCACTTCTTAAAACCCCCAGTCAAATTAAACCAAATTAAGCATTTTTAAAAGAGAACACTTCTTTTAAATAAAATTTACTGCGTTTCGCATATTTTTTATCCACGAAGGTGGTTTTAAAATAAGCGCAAAATTTAAAGAACATAAAGATATTTTTATATTTTGGGATAATTCGACGATATATTCGCATGAATATAATTTAACACAATTATAAACTTCTTTTTTGGTTGGTTGGAAAAATATTAATATTTAAAACTTTCAAACCCCAAACTAATTTGCGTCAAGGTCCTGTATTTTAGTGTCAAATCAGGCTCTTTTTTAAGACATTTATTATGGTATTGTTAAAAGGAAAAAAGCTACCTGTCACAAAGTATAAAATCTCCACTGCAAAATTACAGTATTAAGTAAACTTTACAGCTCGATTTTAAAATTCATAATCTGTAATATATTTAGTGTAAATCAACTCCCTTCTCATCAAATCAATTTCTTCTTCATACAAAATATCTAGTGTTATATTAATCTGCTAACAAAGATCTTGTCTATTTTCTCTAAAACTCTTAAATACTTCTGGATATCATAAATATCTTTAGCTGCCCTTTCGATTAAATATTGTATTGACAAATTCGTATTGTATATTTGTGTATTCGTATTGTATATTGTATATTTATAAAAGCAGTTTAAAATTACTAAGAATTTAATTTCAAACAGTTAAAAATCACCTTTAGGTCTTTTACTACTTCTGTAATTGAGAAAACAAGGAGCGTGGCTTGTCCTGCTTTAGCTACGATACTGAGCTCAGTAATTGTGATTGGTTGGCATAACTAAAAGACTTTATAAAACATCATCTTGGTGGATATTTTTGGCAGTGTGGACCAACAAAACTCTTATGAAATAATAAAGAGTGTATCAGTAAGCACGAGCCGTGCTTATGGATAATTATGCTTATAAGCGACGATTTTACTGATTATAAGGTCATTCCACGTTAAATCAAAGACAATGGAAAAAGTTTGATTTTATTTTCTAATTTTGTGACGATGAATTATTCGCTAGGATGACTACAAATCTTAATTTTGAAGCTTCTATGATAATTATTGTAATTTATTAATTTTTCGCAAGATGCTTAATTTTTTTTTTAATTTCCTAAATAACTCCTTAACCTGTACAAATTATTTAATTGAAAGTTTGTTTCCAAGGGTAACTTTTTAGGCTGATGTTATTAGAATTTGTGTAACTTCAATTATTTTTGCATGAGCATTGCATTTTCGAAAAAAAAATGTTTGATCAGGAGCACATTTTTTAAATTAAAGTTTTAAAGATGACATACCACTACTTTCAAAAAAAATTCATCTTGCCTTTTCGCATAGGTGCTGAAAAACAAATTCTTGAACTCATGTGACTAAAAACTGGTCGTTTTTTAAAAACCAAAGGTGACACATGTCCTAAAGGATAGGTGACAAATGTAAAAAATAACAGGTGTCCAAAATGAGCTAAGACAAATGTTAAAGTGAACCCTATTAAATAAAAGAAAATAAGCATTTTTGAAATCAGCTTAAAAAGTTACCTCTAGAAACTAACTTTTACTTTAATAACTTTTACAAGTAAGGAGTTATTTAAGGAATTAATAAAAAAATGGCATGTTTGCGAAAAATTTAAAAATTACAATAATTAATTTCTAGCTTATTAATTATCCTTAATTAACCTTTTAACCTAAGATTTCCTAGCCTATATATTCAACTACAGAAAATTTTAGGAAAATCTGAGTCGGTGTGGTGAACTGCATTGTTAAGCAGCAAAGAATGACACATTTTGGGCAATGTGTCGACACAGCGTCGAAACATGATTTTGGACACGACACATTTTAAAGACACATAGTCCACTTTAAGACCACTAAGTGTGGAAAATGAGACCAAAGTGGTGATGAAAGTTGTACCAAAAAGTGTCCATAGTTTGCCCACAAAGTGTGCCCGATTTTTTCTTAAAATTTGCCCACAATGTGCCCGCGGTAGTGTGACCGATTTATGCCCAAAGAGTTTCTAATTTGTATGTTACCAAATGGTCACCATTTGTTCCGAATTGTTGACAAAGTACTGTATTGTATCCTAAAATAAACCCAAATGGACACTAACTATTTTTAGTTGGAAACGAATTGGAAACAAACTAGATACAAAGAGGCAAAGTAAGGCGTGATGTCTTATTAATAATTATGTATATAATATAATATTATGAAATACATTATAACTTAAATCTAACATTTTTGGTATATGTTACCTTCATTTTTATTGCGAACAAAATTTTATTGGTGATTATAAGCAAAATACTTTTAAAAATTGATAGGGCCTCACAAATAATAAGTATTTATAATTTTTTTTCCTATATATATATTTTTATCAAAACTAGACGTATGTGCCTTCTATGTAACTTAAAACATTGCATTTTTTAAATTTTAAGTTTAAATTTCACCAGAAAGTTAAATTATGTAAAAAAATTAAAGCGTCGAATCTGTTTCAACAAAAAAATATGGCGAATTACACAATGTGTCCCTTTGGAACCTAATGCGCCCGCCCCACACATTTTTGAAACAAATCAGACACCATGAATCTAAAATGCAGCTAAATGGAAACTTTTGCGCCCACTTGACTCAATTTGGTAATAAAATGGAAACAGATTGATAAGGTACAATATGGAAACATTGAGTCGACTAAGTGTCGACCCTAATGAGTCTAAATTGTGTTACTGTTTCCAAGAGGGCACAAAAGCAACGCAACTTGGGCACATATTTCTAAAATAATGCTACTTAGACCCATACTTTTTTTGGACACAATTGGTTTAAAAGGTGTCGACCCAAAGCAACCACAAATTTGAAGAATTAAAAATTCCATTTAGACATAATTCATTTAGACATAAGTTTTCCGATTTGTGTCGAATCAATTTGGAAACAAAAAGTGTCGTGCCCAAGTTCGGGCACAAATTGCTGCTTGGGAAGAGGTGTGTTCAGAAAATAACGGGAATTTTCGTTTTTAAAAAAAAATATTGATTTATTCGTCTACATTAGATATTATGCACTTGTGCCAGCGCTTCTTCTAATCCTCTAAACTCTTCTCAAACACGATCTTTGGGATAGTCTTTAGTTCTTTCAGCGATGCGCTTTTAATGTCATATATATATGCTTGCAAAACGACGGCCCATTAAGGTTCTCTTTATTTTGGGGAATAGGAAAAAGTCAGACTGAGCCATGTCTGGACAATATGTAGGCTGGGGCATCATTACAGTATTGTTTTTGGCAAAAAATTGTGTTTAAAATTCAACAATTTTGGAACAAATTTTGCTGCCACGCGTTTCATACCCAAAACATTCCAAAATATTTCATGGTATAAGCCAATCGATATGCCATCAGCGACTTCTCTGATTGTGATTCGGTGATCGTTCATAACCATTTCTTCCACTTTTTCCATGTTTATATCGGTTATTAATGTGCTTGGGCGTCCTCTTCAACGTCTTTACGGCCATCTTGGAAACTCTTATATCACTTATATACTCTTATTTTACTCATAGCAGACTCATCATAGGCCATTCTTAACATTTCACACACTTTATTTAATTTTTGACGCAAAATTTGAAACAAATTCTTTGATCCATTTCTTTTAACGAACGAAAATCTCCGAGCTCATAAAAACACGTCTAACCTTAGCGGATGCCACAGACAAAGTAAACAATGAAAACATCTAAAATTTGTATTATTTTTCAGGGGTATGTATACCAACATAATAAAGATAATTTTATGACAACCTGACTCTCAAACCCGCGAAATTTAAAAATTCCCGTTATTTTCTGAACACACCTCATATAGTATATATTATATACTTACTTGTATTAAATAAACTATAATAAATATTTAACACAGCTTACAACAAGCGAAATTCATTCAACTTTATTTATTTAATATATGGCAATATATTTTAAAATACTTCGAGCAAGTGAAAAAGGATCCCGATCTCATAAACAATTCATTGTTTTCGTTAACTATCAGACTCTTTGGAGTCGTAAGTTTTGCTGCAAAGCAAAGCTGGTGCTAAAACAAAGTGGATCGGGGGTTGGAGGTGGGCAAGGGACGGTAAAACGTCGTATATCCAGACGGTGTTTATGGCCGCTCAGGAACTGTAACTACCGTAAAACGAGATTCTGACTGTGGCCATAGAAAAAATATACGTTCTGTAGTTTATTAATATCGAGAAAATCTTATCAACCTTATGCGAATCACGTTTGTGAAATTTAATTACGAAATGAGTGGTGAATCATTTTCGGGCTGTGAAAGAAGACACCGTGACTGAAAAAGTCGTTACCGATAATGCGGAGCTGCAAT